TCCACATTGCCCTTCCATTATGATTAAGTATTTTCAAACTGTTGTCATCATTATACATTCATTAAGTAAGTCGAATCACACGGGAGAAAAGTTTTAATTTCAATTCCTTTGAAATAACATTTGAAATACGGAATTAAATTAAAAATATGACACGTGTTTTAGAAATTATTTTATTTCAAAACATTATTCTAAAATTCCAATTTTTAAACTTACTGTTCGGTAGATCTTTAATTTCTATTGTTATTGAATAACATATATATACATATATATTTTTCGGTTTCACGGTCATTAAATAATCAGAAATACATCCTGAAGAACAAATTAATAATTCATGAGTTATTACAGGGTTTCTACGATGACGGTCTTCACGATGACTTCCTCTGTGCTATTGCTGCATCGTGCTCTGCATCATTGGTGAGTCGCATGCTTTTTGGTTCCTCTGGTCACTCAATCATGTCGTAGGATGAAAGATCCAAATCGATACGAGTGATTGGTTGTATTAAGTAGAATTTTTGATGAGCATAATGTTCACGGGTATTTATTATACCCGTGAGTAGTAACAAAATGTCCTCTGAGCTTTATTTATTAATTTAGGGTAGGTTTTCTTGCACATCATATTTCTGAATAATAATAATAAAAATATGGATAGTTGGCTAATAGTATATTGAAATAAGTAACACAGAATTGTTAATTAGTTTACTATAGAATAAATATTGAAATAAATATTTGAATACCGATATGTTGGAATATTTTGTAGTGTAGAAGTCGAATGCCCTTCGACTTCGTTACTATGAAAATTATAATTATGACGCAGCAAAAATGACTATATATCTTATCATTGTTGTTTTAATAAATAAATGCCAATTCCATTTTTTGCTTTTTGCTAATGTTGAATAATTTAATAATTTAATTAATTTTCTTCCGTTCAAGAATGTATTAGATTTTATGTGCAAGAAAACATTTCGCGACAGATAGATTTTGGAATCAAAGCAATAAACTTGAACTCTATTTTTGTATTCGAAAATGTGCTTTTATGAAGAAATCATCTGAGGTTACTAGAATCATTAGAGTCAATTATTTCATTACGTCGAGTCTTTGTCTTTGGTTTCACGAATAAATTCCTTATTCATTATCAATATTTTTTTTCAATATTCAAATTTCAATAATTCCTTAATTTTGTAAAGTAGAGTCATTGTAGATAAATTACAAAAATACAAGATGAAAGAACGTTAGACCGTTAAATAAACGCTGCATGCACTAATCATGCTTTTAGTTCAGGATTTTCAGGTTTAACCCTTTCCGTGTTCATTGCCAGGAACCCACTCACGTGCCCAGGTGTTACTTGGGTGGGAGAAAGGCAATGGGCATGATGACCATAGTTCATAAGATTATAATGTTTTTAGCGGCTGACGATGAGTTAGGGTATCGTGCACGATGTATTTTCCACATTATGTGTGTGGTTAGGTTGTGGAATTACGTCGTTCGTACATTTGTTTCCTTCCCTTTTCCTAATATTAGTGAATTTTGAGAATTCGTGAATATTAGTGGCAATAGTAGATCATAATCCGCTATTAAATACAACGGATTACGGATAGTATAAACGCGGTAATGTTACCAATTTTCGTACTTCCGCGATTATGAATTTTTTTCGGGAACTGATATACTCGCGCTTTACGCAAAGGTCCCTAGCCATCGTCAGCCGATTTCAGTAAATGGTACGTACAATTAAAGTGTGCAAGTAGTATGTTTACACTCGGGTGTCGGGGGCGTCCCGGGACGCTTACTGTAGTGTAGGATCTTTGCGCCCTGGTGATGTGTGAGAACCGTGGAGTGTGGTGTGTTGGAATGCTTGATTTTTGCCATTTTTTAAATATAGGAGGAGTTAGGCAGGTAGTATATTCTGGTGTGCTTGGTAGTTATAAGTAGGTAGGGCCGGGCAGGTTGGCACAGTCTTAGATCGGGTAGGCCCGTTTCGCGTGCACAACCTGTTTCAGGAAATATCATTTGAATAGTCGACGGTGAAGCTGGCACGTTTGGGGGTTGCCATTCGTCACTAGCATTACCTATCGATTTTTTCAAATTTTCGTCGCGGTCGTGGTTGTGAACGAACGTGTATGTGCTCGAGTTTCTGCATGTGTGCACGAACAACGATCACTCCGATCGTTGCTTGTCCATGTGAGTCTCGATTAGCTTCGCGGTTTGTACCTTTCTTCCCGATTAGAGAATCTCGAGCCTAGATATAAGTTTCAGTGAGCATGGTGTCCGAAGAAAGAAGAGACTATTAGGTACCCGACAAACTAACACAAATAGGGTGCCTAGGAATGGCTTCCTATCATTTGGATGAGAAGCCATTCTTATTACTACTTTGTCACTATGCTCATATTTAGTAGTATGTAGTAGTAGTAGTAGTAGTTTGTTTACTGGCCGATGTTTATCGGTCCATCATTCTGTTTTGGGCAAATCGCGATTTTTGTAGTTAGTGTTGCGAGTAATTACTCTCGGATTGATTTAGTGTTGCGAATGGTGAGATCGCGATTATGTTTGATTTCTTTTATATGAATTGTTATTTTTTCACAGATACTAATATTGATTAACTTCATAGTGTTGCGACTTTTATTAATCGCGAGTATTCAAAGTACTTTTTTCTGCATATACAAATTTTAATTTTTACTGATTTCATTTTAAGAATTAGTGTTGCGCTTGACTTGTATCACGATTTTTTTTATTGCTTTTATGCGAATATAGAATGCCCAAAATTTCACCACTGGTATGGTGGAAATCTATTCCTGTTTCTGAGAATCACCTGTTGCAACTACAAGAGTTGCATATGGGTGGTCACACATCAGCAGCCTGAACCATGGTTGCCCTGAATTTTTCGACATTATTTTTAATTTTTTTGGTGCGAGTGCATAAATTAGTATTCATTAGTGTTACCTTAAGAATTAAAATATCTTATTATGATTATTTTCGCGAGTTTTCTGCCTTTTTTCGTTTCCATTTGTTTGCTTATTTTTTTTTAATGTTCCTTTTTTTGTAAATGATAAATTAATTGTTACTTTAAATGTCATGAAGCACTCTTCTCGATTGATTTTGAAAATTGTTACATTCATAGGTATTTAGCAAATTTAACAAATTTTACAAAGCAAAATAATTTATTATTTTATATTTCTTCTGTACATTTTTAAATCAACTCCTGAACGCTTAGTAGTAATTGTTACCACTTGTGACATTACAGCTGAGTTAGATATCAATTAAACAAATTGGTTGCTTTAAAACTAGGCATGTATTTAATTAATTATATTTTACTTAAATAACATGTCCTTGGTTACTCTCTGATTCTTATTCGTGTACTTTGTCTCACACTCGAATTCACAGTAACAGTTTTCCCACTGTTTTTCTCCCATGCACATCGCCATTGCTACCAACCTTTCATTCACGTATCCATTACCAACCTCTGTCTCTCACTGCTACATCGCACGTATAACTTATAGAGTAGAAACTCATACAGTACTATGCTAGATAAATTTGATAAGGTAGGAAACGACTCTATTTAATGGTGGAAAAAAAAGTGTAGACTAATTTCTGTTTATTTTACATACATATTATTGTAAACGTAATATGTAACAGACCTATCAGTAATAATAATACATAATAAATTAAATAGTTTTAAACATATTAGATATATTTTGAGCATAGAGTTAAAGTTGCAGTTTCTGAATGTATGAATTATTATGTATATTCACACTAAATAAATAAGAAGCATCATAGTTCTAAACTTTTTAAATTGCTGATTCAGTAATATTGGAAGTGACACTAAAATGATTTGAAGACTTTAAAGATTTTGATGTGAGGATCCAGATGTAACGTGTGGGTAATGCATCTAGTCTATACTTTATCTGTGGTAACATGTAGTAACATTCAGTATTTGTGGTTTATAAAATCTTATTCTTCTTATGTGGTATTTATTTGTGATTTAATCGAAAACATTAAACTATAAGCTGTATGTCCACCTACAGATTATTTTCTTAAACATTGTTACCTTTTTCAAAGAGAGAAACACTGTGGAAATAATCTTACATATAATCAACAATGGTACTATTTCTAATTATTTTTCATAACAAATATTAGTTATGTGTAGACAAAACCTAAATTACTTGTAATACATTTTGCTCTTTCTTTTTGTTTTAAAGTTTATTTCACTATTTTACTATTCTATAATTGTGCAAACTATTTTTTGAAATTTTGTGATATAAATAAAGAAATTGTGTCTTTACATAGATAATGAAGTCATAAAAATTTGTATTTCTATTATTTCGTTTAAATATATTTATGGATTTATATAATTAAAATAAATCAAACTCTTTTGTACTTTCTATTTTATGTGTAATTTATATACTTATATGAAACATATGCTGTGCCATATATCAAGTGGCATTTTTGATATTTAACAATGGATGGTAACCAAGTAATGGGAATGAAAACGATGAAACTTATTATAGATACATTCTTATAGTGAATATCAAATTAAAAGATTATTGTGTAAACTTTTATCACATGAAATTCAAGAACTTTGTTTCTGAATTTTTATCTGAACAAATGTATTTATTTATCAAGGGTCATATTTAACCCTCATATCCACATTTCTTTTACAAAAATGTATAATATTCCTCTGACATTGTATATCATAGAAATATTTTTTAACTTTCTTCAATTTGCAGGTAAAAATATTTAAAAGTCTGTTTTTAGTAGTAAAGATAAATCACATGTATAAACTCATATATGTATGTATAGCTTATTCAAAAAATGTAAACTATTTCAAATTATTTTGTACAAACTAATTAATAAGTATTTATTGATGTTTATATTTTATAGAAGAAATCATTAATATAGTAATTGATAAATGTCTAAATCATCAATTTACACACAAGCTTTTTTTTACTTATTTCTTTGAAGGTATCTAACTTTAACTTTTTTTAAAAAATATAAAAAAAGAAAATATCATGAAGAATTTAACAACAAAACAATTGCAAAGAATAGAAAAAAAGAAAAAGAAGATGGCTGCACTTCTGGAAATAACTAAATTAAATGATAAAGATAGAGAAGCTAAAATGTTTGCACTGAAGAAAGCTGTTAGTATAATTGACTAAACCGCAATGTATTTATTCTAAATTTCATGAATAAATATCATTTCAGTCCCTAGAAGCTGATCAGTCATCAAATGATACAGACAGTAGTGAAATTTCTATAGAAGAAAATGTCAAACGTAAACGTCCATGTGATGAGGATTTAAAAGAAGCATTTTTAGAGCATTCTACAAAACAAGAAAATATAGAAGGTATAGAAGAATCAGATGCACTTGCTAATAAAAAACCTAGGTTTGTAAACATTAAAATGTTTACATTCTCAATGATATTTCAAAAAGTATACTGATATTTTTGTTTAATAATATAGATTAAGTGGAGATGAGTATTTAAAATTGAAAAAAGAATTGAGGGCACGTAAAGCGCAACTTAAAAAAATACCTCGATTTCAGTTAAAAGCATCTGGTGAAAGTGCTAGTTTAAGTATTAATGTTAAAAGTGAAGATAGAATTCCTATTTTTCTTAGTGATGTGCAACATTTATTATTGTACTCATTACATGGTCATCACTCACCATATATGCCAACAAGATGGTGTCACCTTGAAAAATATAATAGGGTAATGTAAATATTGAAAGAACAAAATTAATTCATGAAGTATGATTAAACATTGGCAAATTTTTATAAAGGTCATGCACACAGTGGTTCTTGTTATTGAAGAACTTTCCTTGTACCATTTTATGGCTTATGAGAGTATGTTTTCAAATATAACATCAAAATTGGAACATCGTTTTGAAGTTGTAACCCCTACAGCATATGGAGGATCAGTAATAGAAGATCTTGCAGCGGTCCCCATTACAGGATTACAAAGTGATAAATTACTTAAACGTATGTGTATCTTGATGCAGTGAAACATTTATTATTATATTACAACATATAAATAATATATTGTAACATGCTTCAGAATATGGATCATGGGAGGCAGCATTACAAAGTAATGGTGATGTAATAAAATTATTACGAACTGTTTTTCCCATGCATGAAAATTCATTAATAAGGGCTAAAAAGTTTCAAACAAAATCTGACTTACCTATTACGGATAAATTCCCTCGAACACAATTACTTTTATCTTTATGTCAAATGGTAGAAGAAAATTATCCTGTTCCTCTAAAGGGTGAACTAGCAAAAAAGTTAGTATTGATAATATAGATATTTTGAATTACTAAATTTTTAGATTGAATTAACAAATGTTTAATGCTTAGATATGGAGATTATATAATGACAAAGGATGTTTATGCAGAAGCTAATGCAAAATCACCAATGTTTGGTTTAGACTGTGAAATGTGTAAAACAACTACCGGAGAATTAGAATTAACGAGAATATCTCTCGTGGATGAAGGAATGAATGTAAGTTCAATTCTGAAATCATTATAATAATTTGAATATACAAATACTATAAAATTGTTATCACAGATTATTTACGATAGTCTCGTAAAACCGGATAATCCGATCACGGACTATCTCACTCGATTCAGTGGTATAACGAAAGAAATGTTGGATCCTGTCACAACAACGTTATCTGATGTTCAACAAACATTACGAAAATTGCTTCCTACAGATGCAATTCTTATAGGCCAAAGTTTAAATTCTGACCTTCATACATTAAAAATGATGCATCCATATATCATTGATACATCTGTAATTTTTAACATTACGGGTGACAGGTATATATTATCTTTTTTATATTGCAATTACGCTATTGCAACATTTATTTTTCTAATTAGGTTATACTAAATATTACATTTAATAATTATAGATGTAAAAAAACAAAATTACAAACACTAGTAAGAGAATTTCTTGGCGAAAGAATACAAGAAAGTAAATCTGGTCATTGTTCAACTGAAGATTCACAAGCGTCTATGAAATTAGTACAATTAAAATTAGCAAATAGTGTGAATTATGGGGATGCTGTGTTACTTGGTCGATGTGATATAGAAGTATTGGAAACAAAAGGAAGAGATGAACTCAGAACTCAAAGACGAAAATATGCCACCTCAATTTTTAAACATGTAACAAAGGATAAAAAAACTGCTGCCATTGTGGGAACCAAAGAAGTTATGAACGAATATTCTCAATATTTAACTTCTTCTATTAATGTTATGGATGATGAAAATTTTAGTAACAATGATCAAGTATGTATCGTAATGTTAAATCAACAATTTCAATTAATAATATATACTATTTGTATTATTATCGGTTTACTCATTACAGGTACGCCTCGTAGTAGCAGATAATAATAAACAGGCTGTACTTAGAGCTTCACAAATAGCTATGGAACATGCCTTTACTTTATGTCATGTTAGAATAGAACGAGAGAAATTGAAAAATGATAAAATAGAAAAGACGTTCCGTACTGTAAATAAATGGGTACATAAATTATGGCAGCACATGGCAGTGAATGGTTTAGCATGTGTTATATTCGCAGGAGAAAATAATGCAGCAAATGGTGCTTGTTTTTTGAATTTGAAAAGAGAAATACCTGAAGATTGTATAATATGTGCTTAAAAATAAAGAAATGTCATTTCTATACTAATTTAAAAGGAAATTATTAAAGAAGTATAACTAGTAATATTGTGAATTATAGAGAAAAATACAAAAACTAGCAAAATCTCGTAACAACTAATTCCTGTTTGATAATTATTTTATAGGAATGTACAAAATGTATTATTGATAAACTTTTCTATTCCCTGTAAATTTAATAGGAATTTTTACAATATGTATAGACTCTGTTGGACAAGAGTACATACATTTTTTGAAATGAATAATCAAATTAAAGGAAATATTAAATATAATTGGATTGATTTTAGTTATTTTCCTATTCAACAACAGAAATCAAGTTAATTATGTTTATAAAAACGATATATTTAATTATAATATGAAACACCCCTAGATTACATGCAAAAATATAGTAATAATAAACATAACAAAGACAGGATTTACAAACAGAAACGAACATACATATCGCTTTATTGTTATACTACATCTTAATTTATCCTGAATTATATTAGTGGATTAACTGTAATAAAATAAGCAAAGTAAACTCGCACGCTTCGCACTTGAACATTTTGCCATTATTATCATAATAATAGTGTAATTTCGATTCAGTGAAATATCGCAGTACTTTGTATTTAATAATGTACATTATTCTATAACAATAAATTACAATTACAATACGAAAAATGATCGCAATTATAAAAATGGAAAGTAAAATAACTCATAGTCATTTATCTTTTAATTGTAAGAAATTATAACAAGAAAAATAACGATATGTAAGCATTAAAAGAATAAATGTTATTGAAATAGTTTTAAAATGACAAGCAATTACGTTAATTATGAAATTAATATATACTTTACAAGATATATTGAGCAGCCATATCTGACTTGAACTATAAAAAGGAATTATTTTGATAAATAATATTTAAAATTGTATTCTAAAACGCCTACAGATCATATTATTTAAGGAAACAATTAAATGTTTAGTACGGTTTATTACAAAATTTATCTTTACCCAATGCTCTTTGTTTTTCCAAATACATTAAATAAGCAGACATAGGCTGGCGTGAATTCCTATTAAGCATTTTTTGCCTAAATGAAGTTACTTTTGAAACTTTCTGTTTCTTTTTAATTTTTTGAATATCAACAACGCTAAATTCAGTCGTACTTCCAGCACAACTTGGTGGAGTAAAATCGTCTTCTACAAATATGTTCTTTATCTTTTTAGGTCCGGACATCGAAGATGGTAATACCTGTTCTTTCATTTCTGATGATTTCTTTTTCTTCAATGATTTCAATGGAGCGTCCGACAGATTTTGTAGAACATCGTCTGGAAGACGTTTAACGCTTTTTTCTTGTTTATCCACTTTATTAGATTCCGTTATTTGATTGTTAGATTTCAATTTCTTAGCCTTAATTTCTTTTTGTTTCTGCATTTTTTCTATGTGTTCCTTTTGTTTCTTCTTTCGCATGTCTTTATTAGCTTTAATACTATCGGCAGTACGTTTTAAAACTTCTAACGCTTCCTCCCGAGCTTTAGAAAATGCAACCGTTTCTGGTCCCTCATCTGAATCTGATAGTGGATCATTAAACTCTTGTAGTTCATTATATAATGTAGTATGTTTCACATTATCTTTTTCAACACCTACTAATAACTTTTTCTTTTTCTTTGATGATTTTTCAACTGAGATATTTTCACCCTGATGTGTAATATCTTTTGATAATTTACGTTTTTTCTTAGGAACTTTTTTAACTAAAACTTCTTCATTTTGTAAGATATCATTTGATAAGGTTTTCTTCTTTTTCTTGGCAACTATTGGTATTTGTTCAGATAATGCTTCATTATCTTGTAAAGCTGTATCTTTTATTAGTAACTTCCGTTTTTTCTTAGGTATTTGTTCATTTGAAATATTATCATTTGGTAAAAAATCTGAAACCTTTTTCTTCTTTTTTGTTACCTTTTTTTCATTTATATTTTCCACAACTGGAATATCTTTAATTAATTTTTCTTCCTTCTTTTTCTTTTTTATTTTGTCACGACTTTCTGATTCTATTTTGATAGTCTTTTTTTGCATTTGTATGTCAGCTTCACCTGTTTTCATTTTTTTCTTCTTTCTCTTTTTCTTATCTACCTTTTCGTCATTATTGTCAGTATTGACATTAAAATTGACATGTTTAATTTGTTCTACAATTTCTGAATCATTATTTTCAGGTAGTATAGAACTAGTTGTTTCTTTCACAGTTGATTGCTTTTGCTTTTTACGTTTCTTTTGGCGATCATTTTCTAATATATTGTCTGCTACTTTAAATAGTTTTCTTTTTAATGAATCGTTTACATTTTGTAATACTTCCGTTTTTTGTTCATTGTCGTCTTCGTTTGATTGAATCTGATCATTATTATTATTAATATATGTTGACTTTTTAGAATTTGTATCTAACTTCAATATTGGTGCACTTTCATTTAATTTTTCCTTTTTCAAGTATTTTGTTGTTGGTGTTTCACTTCCTAAAGTTAATGTTGTTTTATTCAGTTCTGATACCTTAGCTGACATTGGCTTTGAAAGATTTGTTTTTGTTAGTAAATCAATTAATTCAGATGGAAGACTTCTATGTATGAGAGATTCATTGCATTTTATGTTACTTAGTTTCGACAAATTTTGTTCTTCCTGTAGTGTCATATTTTTCTTTTCTTCATCATTAAGACAATCACTTTTGCGATCACGAATCGCAACATTAAATTTGTCTTGTTTAGATAAATTAATTTTTGGAGTACTACATTCCATTGATTTATTAAATTTTTGCATTTTTTTATTGAATACCAGTTGTGATTCATTCATTGATTCTTCTACACCTTCAACGATAAATTCACCGGAGGCGCGTTTTTGTTTCGTCTTTTTTATTTCCAAAGGAGATGAAAAGGACAAATTAGTAAAATTATTTTCTTTTTCACTTACTTCTGTATGATCTGTTTTCAATTTCTTGTTCTTTTTCTTATCACTTCCGATGATATGAGACGAACTTATATTTGCAGATTTTGATTTATTTTTTTCTTTAATAGAAGTATCTGTTACTTTATTTATATCTTTCTCATTCGTATTTTCTTTATTTTCATATTGTTCTTCCTTCTGGTTTGTTTCTTGTTCTATTTCAATCTCACTTTGCATTTGTTTCTCATCATCTCTTTGATCTTCTTTAGTATCCTCTTTCACTAATTCATCATTTTCCATTTCTTCACCTTCCTCTCCACCACTTTCATTAAATTCTTCTAATTCTTCTTCAACTTCATCATCATCAACTACAAAATCTGCAAGATCTGACCCATTGTCATATGGATCTGATGATTCTGTTTCTGATGCTCTACATTCATCTCCTGGTACATCATCATCAGAAAATTTTGAAATGTCTTCACCATGCAAATTATACTCTTTCTGGATATCAGAGTCTATAGTGTTATTAGATTCATTATCGTCATCGCTATTGCTGTCGCTTGCTCCATCAAATAAAAATTTAGGTAATTCCATAAATTTATTTTGCGAATCATCAGAATCAGAAATACTTTTACTTTCATTAGAATCAGATCCAATGTTAGCAACGGTTGAATAATTTCTATTCCATTTTTTCTTTGTAATGGTATCCTCCTTTTCGCAAGATTCAAATTCGTTAGACTCGTTATCTGATTCTCTTGCGAAATTTACATCGAGCTGCTGTAGCTTTACTTTTTTCTTTAAAGAATTATTTAATGATTGGCTTTTCTCAGTGTCTTTGGAATTGGATTTATTTAAAGATTTTCTTTTTTTTATAATTTCAGTTACATTCGGTTCTTCTTGTTTATTATCTATTTCTTGAATTGACTTATTAAGTGATTTTCGTCTTTTTGGACCATTTTTGGATAGTTTATTTTTATTTAAGGATGAATTTTCTTCTGTTTCTATTCCCTCACACGATTCGGATAAATCCTTAGCTTCTATTGATTTTTGAATCAACATATTGGATTTGGAAATAGAGTGTCTATTATTACGTTTTGTCACAGATTTATTTTCATCTACATTTGTTGACATTTCTATGTTTTGTACTGTATCTTTTGAACCTTCTATCATTTCTCTTTTGTCTCTATTTTTATTTTGTTTTATGGTTTTCTGTTCATTAGTACTGGAAGATTTATCTTTGCTTTCATTTAAATTACATTCATCTCCTGATACATCCATTGACAGATCTTCATCATTTTGGGTCTTCATAGAATCTCTTTGTACTTTTAATAGAACTGTATCGTCTGAATCATAATCAAAGGTTTCTTTTTCCTTTTCTTTTTTTAAATTTTCCACAGTTAACCATGACTCTTTATCAACTAGAACAAGATCACATTCACCTTCACTTTCATTTTCTAATTTCTCGCTATTCTTTTCTTTCCATTCAGTAGCAGGAATATCTTGAAATAAATTTGTCATACTTGTATCAGAATCATTTTCATCAACTTCTATGTGTTCTTGACACTTTTTAGATGCTGTTTGCTTAATATCTGATTGTTTTTCATTTGATTCTAGACTGTGTGCACACTGTTTCTTTAATGTTGAAGAGTCACCTAGTACAGAAACTTTTTTTGACTGTTCTCCTCTTTCAGGTTCTCGTTTGACAAATTCAGCCGGAGTCTCTGTAACAATGGAAGAGTTATGATTTTTAATCACATTAGTTACATTAGCTTCATTCATATTAGTTAATGCAGAATCCTCGTGACTGATACAAGTATCTAAGGATTTTGAAGGACTGATTGGATTGCAAGCTAAATTATCTGTTTTATTTATATCTTGTAAATAACTTATATCCTCATGCTCTGAAACAATGGAATGCTGAGTATCTTGAATTAATTTCATATTTCTTGATTTTGACTCTATGTTACTTAATTTAGGAGATAGCATTTTTGTACAATTTGTGTCATCATTTTTGTGCATATTTTCTGATGTACTTGGCTCATCACTTTTATCTTTCTTATCACACTGATCGCTTGTAATTGTATTTTCATCTTTGTTATCTTTCTCAGGCTCTTCATTTTCATTTATACTTTCCTTTGCATTTGAATCATTAAGTTTAGAATTCATATTTTCGTTACATTCTTTAATATTAATTTTACTTGACTCCTCATTCATTTCTATATCAATTTCTGTAGACTTATTATTATCCAATTTTTTTCCATCTTCTGTATGTTCCATCATTTCAATGCTCTCATTTAAGCTTGAATTTGTAGACACATCTATAATACCACCTTTATCTAAATTTTCTTCAAAAGAATTATCATTAACAGAGTCTGTTTCTGTACTCATAACCAATTTTTGCATATTATCAGAATTGTCTTCATGTATTGAAGTATCCAGATTTTCAACTGATAAATTATAAACTACATTGGTATCACTATTAACTTCTATAGAAATATTATCACTTGGCATTCCTAATAATTCTTCAGAGCGACGTTTTAGCGTTCCATTTGTTTCAATACGAAGAGATTTATCTTTTTCTTCAGTTGATTCATTTGCATTTGAACTACTTATAGATAAATGTTTTGGACCTTCTAGTGTATCAGAAATTGCATTTTTAGTCTGTTGTGAATCAATATCAATATCTGTTGTAAGATTTTCTTCATTACTACGACTTTCTTTTTCCACTAATTCATTTGAATCCTCAAGTTTTAATTCTACTTCCTCAGATGTGTTTTGGTTTTCATTTTGTGAAGGTATTTGAGAATCATTATCTACTGATGATTCTACTTGCTTTATAATATCTGTGGATGATGTTTCAATACTTTCTAGAACATCTTTATTATCTGATATCTTTTTATCATCAGTAGATGTACCTTTCTCAACTTCTTCAAAACTATTTGAAGGAAGATTTTCCGGAGTATTGTCGTGTGGTCCCTTGACTGTTGTAAATGTAAATGTAAGCAGTTAGTTTTTATGATGTTTTCTATTTACATATTTATATATTACTAGAATTTCTTGATTATACAAATTTATTAAAAACTTTCTACAAAGAAAAAAAAAGAACAAAAAAAAACAAAACGGCATTTTCATTTATGAATAGTAATCTAATCGTATACATTACGAACTATATATACTATAACAATAAATTAACCTTACCAGAAACATTTTCTTCAGCATGTTTTTCATTTACATTTTTACGACTTGTATCAAGTTTGTGTTGTTTTTCATTTTTTTGTGCAGTTTTAGGGGAATTATCTGAACATAAAACTTAATATGTTATTACTAAATTATGATTTATCAAATTTAAATATATTTTCACAATTATATAATTTAAGAAATGCAATGTACCTGGTTCTTTAACTTCATTAAGATCAGGTAATGTGCGATCTAATGTTACCATAGGAATCTTCATACATTGTCCTTTCTCCTCTATAACCATTGCTTCTGAAGGTAATACCGAAATTCGTCTTCTTGTCTTAATAGGTGAACTTACAAATTCATTTTGATACTTTTCTAGAAGTTTATTTGATACATTGGATTCTGGTTCTACTGAACTAGCCCTTGTACTACGTGTAACTCTTATTGCTGGTGATGGTGAATTTACTTCTGAACCAGCCCTTGTAAGACGTTTACTATAAATAATAAAGAGCAATGTAAAGTAATAATACAAAAATTTATATATATAAATTTTGATTGTTGTTAAAATACCTTCTTCGACTATTTGTCTTATTACTGTTAGGAGGATTATTTCTAGTTTTCTTTGTTGGTGAACCAATATCTGTTTCTGGGATTTCGCTAATATCTGAGGATATAGAATTCATCCTAGAACGCAAAGTTCTTTGATTTTCAGTTGGAGTGGAACTGTCCATGATACTCGTTCGTTGCTTTTTACTTTTTCCAGTTTGTATATTACTAATATTGCTCGCGTCGCTTAAACTGGATTCAGGTGAAGATTCATTTTGTTTAATATTTGGCTTAATTCGAGAGCTTCGACGACGTGGAGAATCAACTGATATTGCTTCAGTTTGAATACGAGTTTTACGACCTAACAATTTAAGAGAGATATGAGGAAAACATAAAATAATACAACCAAACTTTGTAAAATGTTAATTATGCACTCTGAAAGGGTTTAAAACAAGATTTCTTATAAAAGTATATTGTTAAATTGATAGTAGTATAAGATACGATGTCGAATCGACCGTTACATTCAGCGACCGAGTGAACCGCGTGCGCATAGAAACTAAAAAAATGAAAAATACAAACCAGACTTCATGTCTACCTCCTCATCTGAATCTTTTACGCCACGTCGCATTTTTGTTATTGTTTAAAACATGTATTAACAACAACTTGTATAAAAAAAGACAACACTTAATAAGCGAGTACGCATTAACACGTGTTATTATCCAAATTTAAACCAACGATGTACTCAACCTTCACCACATTGCGCGCTGAACATCCGTCGTAGAAAATACATTCAGAGACACCAAGTGACGAAATTTGACGATATTTCAATTTTTTTCGATAAATCCGTTAACAAAATTTTTTCCTTAGTTTAAAGCATTAAGTGCTGTTGTATAATATTATTTGTGTAAAAAAATATTGATTTAATGTAAAATTCAAACGAAAGAACAAAGTCTATATTTTTATATCAAATGCAAGTTATTTTGTATTATGAAAAGCGCGGGAAATTAATCAATAAAATAAATTAGTAAAAAGTAATTGAATATCATGTAACTAAGAAATAGGAAAAAGTCTTACATTTACTTTTAAAACAATTTAAATTTATATAAAATAACAGTCTGTTTGAAACCACAATATTCGTAAGTAATAATGAATAGTTTTATCAAAGGTGTATGTTTTACTGAACAATATTTTATATGTTTGATATATTAATATATATTTACATTAATATTAACGAACAATTTAATGAATTTGATATATTCATTTAATACAATTCATTATTACTGTGAAAATTATCTTTTAGAGTATCTAAAATCTAGATTTTTAAATGTATTATCAACAAGCCTGGCTAGCTCAGTCGGTAGAGCATGAGACTCTTAATCTCAGGGTCGTGGGTTCGAGCCCCACGTCGGGCGATTTCTTTTTTTAAATTATTTTCCATGAAACAAATTGTAATAATTTTATATTATAATTGTAATATTTTTGTTTATTTACAATATGATTGTTTTTTGGTATATCGATATTAGTTTTTACACACACATTTCTTGCATTTGATTTTCTTTTTCCATAAGCGCTTATATTATATAAGACCATATAAATCGTATTGAACAAAAATATTCGATTGACCCTTGCCGTATAAAGATCCTCTGTAATTTCTCTTTTAAATTGAATATCAGTATGACACGAAAATTGATCGTTTACTAATGCAAATTTATTTTGTCATAATTAGGCGTTATTATGAAAAATTTATTTCAAATGTATAATGTTCAAAAGGATATTTCTGCAGAAAAAAAAAAAGAAAAAAAAAACGTTTCTAGACCGATTCATTTAGTCCTTGTAACGCTACCAGTTCACGTGTGCTTGATTACCATCGATAATAGCTAGAACGTCGACTTCGTGCTAAAAAAACGTAACGTCGAGGAGTGCGTTTATTGTGGGAAAGTTGGACTTATAACAAACTCGATAATTCACGTAGTTTATCTTCTTCAACAATTTACACACAATATCAAATTATAAATATTTACGAACAATTTGGACATATTCTGGACAGGAAGAATCATTTTATTTGGAATTTCGTGGTGAAGGCGAAACTAAACTGTGCCGAAAATTGAATATTTGTTGACGTTTGTGAGATTAAACTTTTAACCTATAAACTTTAAAATGGGTCAAGCATAACTAAAAATCGTGGTAAACATGAAAGAATGTACCTCTTTTTTAACTGCAATTAACTAAAGTTGCTTTTGTATTTTGTTGTGAATGAAAATATTTTTGCATTTTTGATCGTTTGAAATTAATAAATGGTATTATTTAGTTATATATATACAAGTGATTTTATTAGAAGATTGGAAATGCAGCATTTTGTGCAGCTCATAGGTAAGTCATCATTATAATCAACATAATTAATGACATAGTAATTAGTTGTTGGTAAATGAATATCAACCAGATGAATATTTCATTTTATTAAGTAATTACTAATATAATATCAAAAAGTAATAAATTAGTTAATTCACAGAGCTATTATTCTTATTACAAATTTTTTTGGAAGTCAATGTAATTATATTTATAATTTAAATTATATTTATTATTATTTTTATAATTTATAACTTAATGTATATACTTTGAATCATGCAATATGACTAATACATATTTATATATTTCCTTGTCACTGTAACAATTTTATAAATTCATTATAAATATTTTTTAAAAATAGGTTTCACCGACAGTAACGGAAGATAAACTGGGACCATAGAAGAAAAACCCGAAAATATGAAAAAATGTTATTCTTAAATAAAGAATATTGGAGCTAGAAATATTCATGTGATACCAAGTGGCTGTGTCCAAAATAAACGATTTATCACCTATGTAATGCTGTACTTGCATTTACGATCATACACTCTCCGCGTCTGACCAATCTGGATGCTTCACTACTTACGAAGCGCGGGTACAGTGAACTTCGTATCATCAAATACAGATCAGCTCATATTGCAAAACATCGAATTTTTAAACCATAAGCTTGTATTGCAAAATATTGGGATTTATTATCGAGAGATCGTGTTACAATATATTAAGACACGAAATCACCAGATCGCATTGCAAAATATTACGATTTACAAATGGCTGCACGTGTCGTAAGAATATTAGAATTAAAAATAACCTATTGAAAATGAAAAACATTACATCTGTAATATATTATACTATTTATCATATATGTATATTACACGTTAAATATACGAAATCTAACCTTAAATTTATTTTTCAATAAAATAATTTATTTAAGTTATCTTTTTGTCAATATTATTTATTATTTTATTTTTCTTTTTTCTTATTGCGAAAATATTTTATACGCTACTAAATAGCGAATGTGCAAACGTATGTAAAAGTGAAGTACTGTTTCATAATTTTAAATTTAGTTTGGTAATGAAAATTTTTATTTACGAATTTTGGAGATAATTTTTTGTTTACAGTGAATCACGATGACGTATCGAAATTTTCCATGGCGCAAGAGTTATCGAAGCAGCACCGAATAGGACATGTCTGCCATGCTGAGATATAAATTCATTTATTGGTTCCTAGAAAGCTACTGATCGATCGAAGTTATTTGCTTTGCGTACAAACTATATAGCAGAGAAAAGGGTTCTTCTTTCTTTAACTTGCGTTACATACTTTCGTTTGTACAGACTTACAAGGAACGGGAAAGGGATAAAAGCGTACTTAACAATAGATTCTTAACGTAGATTATTTATAGTTTGTATAATTTAATTTAATCAATTCTAACTGACTGTATTACTCGTGTACCTTTATTTTACAATTTTGTACACAATTTTGTTAGTGTAGAATATTCGTAGCAATCTGTTACGCGTTTGGTTTCTCTCTTTCGTTTGAGATAGTTTACAGTAGACATCTACGAGTTTAATCCCTGGAATTCATTCAAAATGTCGTATTAAGATCGAAGGTTTAGGGGGGGTCCCTACATTTCTCTGGCGAACTATTTTTGCTTTCCGTTTCGCTGCGGGTGTTATCGACCCTGGACAACTCCTAAACCCGGGATCTTGTACCTTGACCTAATATTACCAGACTTTTAGTAATATTCAGTGTATACTACTGCAGAAGTTCAGATATTACAATAATTCTTAGAATCTAGAATTGTATAGAGAATCACTATAGTATCTATTACGGTCTCACTCACAATGAGACTATGCCAGCAATGCATCTCAATAAATTTTAGAGGTAGTGTATAAAATTATAATAGACCTACAACTGTTTAAAAAGTTACTCTGACTTTTGACAGCTTTGATAACTTCTGAGTTATTTTGATAGTTTCAAACAAGCATTATTAATAAATAGCTAAAATTATTGGTAAAAGATTGAATGAATTGGTAGACAGAAAACTGAGGACGAATCATTGCTACACGATTACTGTATGCTTCTAAAGTAAAGGGTCCTCAATACCATTTAAATCATTTTTCAAATTTTGTTACTACTGTAAACAATGATCAATCCCACTTCTGAATTGTAGGCGAATAATCCCACTTCTGGAATTGTAAAAGGGGGTTCACTAATAATCTAATATTCTAATATTCTAATAGTCAGAACGAATATTCTCTAACGTAAAACTCTCCCGAAGGAACTCTCTAAAGGCACTGTCTAACGAAACTCTCTTAAAGGAACTGTCCTAAAGGAACTGTCCTAAAGGAACTGCCTTGCCTGCGCTCTTGTACCCCTATTTAAACCATTCATTCTGTCCTCATCTATACCCATGCTCTCTTTCCTAATCACGCTTTCCCACGCATTCTTCGTAGCCCGAACACTCAGTGGGTCACGTACCCCAAACATTTAGACTTATCCCTAACTCTCTTCACTCGTAACCGATACTTCCATAAGCATCCCGTTCACACGATCTTTGCGCACGGACACTTATCCTTCCGCACGCGCTCCAGATACTATTCCTATATACGTTCTTACACTACCTCTTCGACTAATCCGAAATATTCTAAAAATAAATGTATGAAATAAATGTACTACAAAGCAGTGGTTACTTCGCGTTAAAGCTTCGAACTGGCGAAAATAACTCCTTGCTTTTCAGCACCGAGACACGAGTGTAGTCTTAGACGAAAATATCTGGTCGACATTTATGTATTTAACAGCGAGTTAAGTGCAAGAATTACGAAAGGAACTGACTCCGGTGTCTATTTAAGAGTTAGAGATACCACTCTTTCTATATAGCAATTCAAAATGTCTGAATTATAGTAATTAAAAACTCAAGGGCTTTAATTTTGAGTTCTTTATATTTAGTTCTGTGTATCAAGTTTTGTATGAAGAAAATTAACTAGGATAGTTGAATATGCTGCTATACCTTATGGGAGAGACATGCATCTGTTTCGTGCGAGACAACCCTCTTCAGACGGTGCATTAAACGTCACACGCAACACATCACTAATTAATCTCCGTAATATCCATAGGAAATACATTCGATATCAAGTACTAACGTTAAATATGAAAATATTATTATTTGCTAAAATTAATAAATGTAAACAAGATCACAGAACAGTTAATAAATTTAATAAATCTTTGTTCGTCAAATGATTACATTGTATTTCGTCAACTCTATGAGTATTAAGAATGATGAAAAATAACGATATAATTATATAATAAATAATTCCATGATCCCATAATTACAAAATGTTTACAAAT